GAAGGAAGGAAGGAAGGAAGGAAGGAAGGAGCCTACCTACCTAGATGATACAATTTTATTACAATCAGAAATCAGAAAAAAGAAACAAAATAAAATGACATTTAGATATCAACAATATAGGAATTGCCTAAAAGTTTCCATACACCTAAACTCAAGTGTCCATAAATGATAAGTCCTTTCATGCAAAGCTTTGCAGCACTGAATATGATAAACATGTTCTTGAGTGATAATAGGAAGTCAACATAGAATTTGTCAGACCAATCTGGGACATGTGATAACAAAGGAAAGAGGAGGCTTCTTCAACTATTAGAAAAGATACAATGTAGCAGCACATAAAGGATGGATTCAATAGCACCAGAGCAAGTCTGGCAAGTTATAGGGACTATATTAAATTTTCTCTACAGAAGAGTTGAAGGTAAGATGTTAAACCTAGCTCTAAATCTTTATTGGAATTGGGAAGTGAGTGTTGGAATATAACTAGCTCATTATCTAGTTTCTGTCTTGCTCTCTGATGGGCTCTGAGATCAAGTTAATCTCATTTTGATACTTGATGTCTAAAAGCCTTTCTATGACTATTTTCTTAGCCTGAATAAACTCTAAGAGATGAAGAAAATCTTTAGAGAGCCACATGGTAAGAGTTGTCCCAAAACTGCTTGGGACCCTGATAACTGAAATTGCTTGGATGTTACCGGCCCTTTTGGAAAAGAACACAATTTAAGCCAATAGTTAATTATTAACAGCTATGCTCTTACTTTAACCTTCAACAGGCCAGTCTCTAATCTCCAAGCTCCATTGCATACACATTGATATGGGGTTTGATACACCACTCTTATAAACTTAGTTTGTACAATTTTCACTGACTAGGATAAGGACCCACCTGTGAACCATAGAGCAACTGAGCTAAAAGTCAAGCAACAAATATTTTCAAAATTGCAGGAATACATTCTCCAACTTTCAAGTGGAAGAAATTCTTTGAGTCTATAGACATGGACATCTGCAGGAACTTGCTGCTTTTGTCAAAATGTGTGTTTTCCATGACCCCAAATCCTGGAACACTACACCAGGGTTTTTAAACTCCTCATGGCTCATCTTCTACCATTCTATAACCCAGTATTTTTCAAACTTGGCAACTTTAAGATGTGTCAACGTCAGCTCCCAGCATGCTGGCTGAGGAATTCTGGGAATTGAAGTCCACATATCTTAAAGTTGCCAAGTTTTAAAAACACTGCTATAACCCAGCTCAGCTTCCTACTTTTTTTTTGCAAAGGCCTTTACTTTGATTTTTTGAAAATTGATTTCCAGCTAGTTTTCCCTACAGAACAGGCAGTCCTCATTTAGTGACCACAATGGGGACTGCCAATTCTGTCATTAAGCAAAGCAGCTTTAAGTGAAACTATGACTCAATTTATTATCAGCTTCCCTTTGCTTTACAGACCTGCGAAGGTCATAAATGTGAGGATTAGTCACAAAGTTACTTTTTCATCATCGGCGTAACAGAGGCTTACTGGAGTCTTTGAAATAATAGCTACATTGTGTGCTTATAGCAAAAGGGGGATATTTGCATCTGCTATTTTGGAGAAATGGAAGTTCAAATCTGAGAGTTTCCTTACAAGTGAGTTCATATACAAATTGAACAGGGAAGGAGCTAAAATGCAAACATGTCTAAGTCTCTTGTATACAGATATTTGATCTGATAAAGAACCTTGTGATTACATTTTATTCTAATTCTGGAATCTTTACAGTTTTTGAGCAGGAAAAAGCAGGCATCAATCAATACCTATGTATCTAAATTCTTCTCACAAAACAGGCCTCAAAATTAAGTCATATGCAAGCTTACAAACAGCGAAGTCTATAGAGGGCAAAGTTTTAGGTTTATCACTATGTTTCTCTATCAGGTGGATATAGAACTAAAATATGATAAATGGTGGAATAAATTTAAAGTCTACCTGTTCAAGGCCCAGAATGGTTCCTTTCCCATTCATTTTTGCAGTTCCATTCTAAATAATGAACATAAAACTTGCTTACTATTCTCAGTAAGGCAGTGGTTGATAATTAACAGAATAATCCCTTCCCCTCATTTTTTTTTTAAATTAGAACAATTATAGCCACCCCCCCCCCTTTTGAGGTATGTTTCCAGTTTGGTCTATATATGAGAAAAGGGAGCCCAGGAGAGAGATTAGAGCCAATATTAGATTTCAATATTTCAGGCAGAATATAACTACTGCCAAGGGCCTTGCCTAACTTCACAGTATTAATGTGCCTCCTCATTTTGAGAAGAAACCAGGGAAAAAATTCATCAAGTGGTGCAACCACAAGTTCTTCCATCTGGGACTCATAAAAAGTTCTAAAATAGACTTCCCATCTCTCCCTTGGCATCTGATTTAGTAGATGAAATTAATTATCATTTACCTGCTAAATGCAATATGCCAAAATGAGGAGTTCTAAGTTTTGGCTGCTGAAGACAGGTGTTGCCACTGCTTCATTAAGGCTTAAAAAAACTTTCAGAAAGGATTTCTACTAGTTTTTCAATTCTAATAATGTAGAAGTAGATGTTTGCATGGCATCTTTATGATACAGCTCATAGTGATTAATTAGATCTCTCTTAACAGTTGTATAGTCATGGTCAGTAAATCCTTTAGGTTTAACGCTCAATTTCTCTTTGTCTCAGTAACAAAATATTCCTGAAGACTTGAAGGAGGGATGGATGATATCCAAGTACCTGAGAACTATCTCACTGGTTGCTCCATCATCTAAGGTAAGTTTAACACTTTAGAAAAGAAAGTACAGGTAGTCCCCAGGTTAAGAATGCCCAGCTTACAAACGACCCATAGTTAAGCAAAATTCGAGTTAAATACACAATGGTTTGAGTTCATTACACAATACTATTTATACAGTATTATACAATAATACTGTTCTGGCTTACATGCAAATTCGACTTAAGGACACTTCTTGTGAACAGAACTTGCTCTTAAACTGGGGACTACCTGTACCCCAATTTTCATTTTGCTTAAAACAGTTGGGGAGTATCTAACTACAGATTGCACTGATTTGAGTGACAGATCAATCCTTAAAGATAAAGAGGTGCTTACTGTGACGTTGGGTGCTCAACCATCATGAAGTTTATTCTAATAATTAAGTTACATAAGATCAATCAATAATCTACTATTGACATAGGAGACCCAAACCAGTATGTCAATTCTACAGGGTGATCTCCTGGAATTAACCCATTTAGTATTCACAAATCAAAGTGACTAGCCAATCATGCTAAGCAAACGCCTGGAAAATTGCAGGTTTCATTTCTGGCAAACAGGAAGGAAGGAGGCAATAATTTTAAAAAGGATAACCATTAAGTTTTCATAGTACCCAACAATTCCTTTAACTGAGAGGAATGAGGAATGAGAGGGGAAGGACTGTAATTCAAGGACAGATGACAGGTTTGTTATGCCAAGAGTGCCAGATTCAATCTGCTGGCATCTCCAGCAAAAGAGTTCTCAGGTAGCAGAACTAGAAAGGAACCCAAGTAGAGTCCAACAGATGGTCAGAGTAAACAATACTGAACAAGATGGATCAATGGCCTGGGCAACTTCAGGTGTGCCTGGACCATAATTTTTGTGTTGCTTTAGAACAACCATCCCTGATCTGATTCCCTCCAGATGTACTGGTAATACAATGACCACACTGTTCTGCAATCCTGAGTACTGAAGTCTTAACATGGCTCAAGGGCAAGAGGTTTCAGAAAGTGTCTGTAGAAACCACTTAGCAGCTCATGTTCTTCCCTGACTACTCTAAAAATGAATGGCAAATAAAAGCAAGAAGGGAACTCACTGGGTGTTCAGGATTGCCATCCCATTGTAATTAAAGTGACCTTGGGGTTTTTATATTCCTCTGTTTTGTTTTAGTAGAAAAATGTATAAAGCTGCCACACTCATCCTTGACTCCCCCACTCTACCCAGAAATGTATAACACCCATAAGAGGAAATTGTAAGTCAAAGCAGGTTTGAGCCACATTATTATTAAAGTTGATTTTGGAGCAAATCACTGGGAGGTATTTTTGCTTCTTGACTATGTGCCATCAGATCAATGTTGACTTTTAGAAACCATATAGATAGACTTCTTCTGGGATGATCTGTCCCTAACCTTTAGGTCTTCCAATAGTCATACATCACTGCTCTATTTAAGCCTATCTACCTTGCTGCTGTTCATCCTCTTCTCTTTCCTTCTGTTTTCCCATCATCGTCATCATCATCATTAGATTTTTGTGCCACCTTTTTAATATATATAACTCAAGGCAGCAAACATACCTAATACTCCTTCCTCCTTCTATTTTCCCCACAACAAC